AAGGTCGTTCATGGCGCCCAGAGCGAGGTTGAAGCCGGAACCGGCGTGGTCGATGGCGAGAACGTTGATGCTCTTGCCGTTGTAGGTGAGCTGCCAGCAGGTGCCGCACTATTGAAGCACATTAGCGAGTGTCTGTGAATAGAAACGAGTGATGGTGAAACGTACGCTGGGGGAGTTCCAGCCGGAAATGGCGTCAGCGCCACCGATGTAGGGGAATCTTGCGACCTGGCCCTGGTTCTGCCATCCGTACTTTGTGATGAGGCCGTTGGCGCCATCGGAGCAGGAGACGGCGGTCAGGGAGCGGGAGCCGTCGTCGTAGCCGGTGTCGTAGGAGACGGAGACGGCAGCCGCGGCAGCGACGGAGGAGAGGATGGTGACGAGGTTGGAGAACTGCATTTTGAAGGTGGTGGTTGTGGGGGTGGTGGTTGAGGTGGTGTTGTAGATGGAGCTTTGGAAGCTTGTTTTTAGAGTTGTGTGTTTGTGGTAGTTGGAGAAGCTGGTGAAGAAGCTGATGAGGATGAGAGAGGAGGAAGTCGGATGAGGCGAGTCTTTGGTCTGCTCTTATACAGCCTCGATCTCAGCTCATCCTCCATAATGATCAGCCTCCTCACTAGGCTCCATCACCAGACCCGAACCGAAGCGGATCATGGTCTCCAACGACAAACAGACCAAGAAGGCGGGAAAAAGTCATCCATGACGTTGCGGTCTCTCCGGCAATAGCGTCATGTCGTGACATGGCCGGCAACAGAACCCTTGGCCGGCTTGGCGAGGACCCCATACTACATGTGACATCGTATGGGATGACTGCCGGAGGGGGGCAAGCCTTCCCCAGGGTTCCTTCAATTCGTATTGAGCGGTGCAGCTTAACGGGAAGCAAGGGAAAAGAGAGAGTTACTCCGTACTGCATAGTAGTCTACAGAAAAAAGCACCACCTGCACTGCCGATCACAGATCTGGTTTATTGACGTGGGGAAAGGACCACTAGAAGGAGGCGAGGATTATTCTCGTATTCACTAGCCCCGATTTCCAGCGCCGTTGGGGGCTCAGGCTCACGCTCATGGCATGGGGCGGGAGCAAACACGCGATGCCTTGAATTGGCTGCTGCTGCAACGGACCGGCGACGGTGTGTACTGTGTAGTTGACCGGTGCATGCGACAGGGCTGTCATCCTGGGCTGTTTTTAGCAATTAGAGGCCGCTAAGGTTATTTGGGTTTAGCATTCCCTGGTTCCGCATCTCTGCCCCAGTTTGCCAGCCTCTATTTCCTCCCAGCCGCTTGAGAAGGGAGAAATAGACTGATTCCGAATGAGACCATCACAACTCAACGTATGCTCTTTGGAACCAAGGATTTTGTTCGTTTTTGACATCGTTCTCAATATGTTTGGGCCGTCGCAGAGGAGTCTCCTCGATTCAGTATGCAGGACTTGGCTCATTTGTGCGTCGGGCGACTTTCCCGCCAACAAGTGTTGATCTCTTATTTTTCTCCACACAAAGCCGGCGGGACGTAACGTCAGGTGGCTCTTTTTCCTCGTGTTGCTTCTGGTCGCCAGACACGGTTTCTTCGCCAACGCATGCGTCTGCTGCCCGCTGCGATCTTACTGTTTCCTCATCGTACAAGAAGAGAAAAAGACTTGACATGAGGATCCCGAGCCCGAGTGGTCGGGGCGCCCTCGGAGGATTGGGGCTGGCGTTCTGCGATGCAAACGTCGAGCGTCATGGGCTTACGGCTGTGGCGGGCGCCATCCCACGTTCAGATGAGCCCCAAAAGTCAGACATACTTAGGTACCGCAACCACGAGCACAGCAGGAAGAGAAGTGACCCCGACGTCAGTGAGCACCGGCGCTGAGTCTAACAGATCGTAGCTTGCTCACTGAGGCGAAGCAGTAGGGCACAACAGCCTAAACCGCTATTCGTCCTCCGCTTATTGACATAAGGAGCGCTTCACGCTGATCATCCGCGGCGTCGAGCAACGTTACAAGCGCGCAAGCGCGGATCAGCACGCGCAGTCTCACTCGTCTGCGACAAATGGGCCGATCGCTGTGTTAGTCGCTGTGTCGCCGTCCGCGGGGTGTCCGGTGTATCCGAGCTTCGCCGCCCTTTTCTCGTGATGCTCTTCTAAGTGATCGTCTTTGCGCTGAGAATAGATTTCGGTCATGGCCACAATGATTGTGGCATCTGCACAGTAAGTGAATCTCCAACCGTAGCTCCGCAACTCCAAGCTGGAGCTTTCCGATGCGACTGACAAGCATCTGTGATGAACGGTGGAGTATGCGGTTGGCTCGGCAGAACACGAGCTCTTGTCTTGATCTCCGCTTGCTTTTGGGAGTTTCCGATAGATTTTCGACGAGGAGGCGGTGAATGGTCCTTACCTCGAGGACCTTTCTGGTATCGAGTTCTTCGGGATTACATTTCGTGCTTAAGGCGGTTGCTGGTGAAAAGAGCTACGATCATTTCGAATATTGGGAGAAAGATGCTCAGCCAGGTCACTGACTCGGCTGTCTGCAGTCTCGGGAACTACCCGAGGGCAAGTTGCTCGTAGGAAGCCAGGGATACGAGGTGGAGTTGGGAGTTGAGCTGCTGTAAGAGCAGGGAAGAGAATAGATTAATACGGCTGACCTCCCAACGTTTCGAAGGGCGTGATAACCAAAAAGCTGTGATAGATCACGAGGAGCTCCTCAAGAGATCGACACTTCTGTGGCCCGCCTGGGGTATTGTTATCATCAACTGAGCATCGTGACCGAGTGTGGCAGTTTGTTGACGAGGCTGGTTGTATTGATAAGTCGAGAAGGCAAAAAGCAGCAGATGCCTTCTTCAGCTTGTTCAGATCGGTCGAAAGCTGAGAGTAGTAAGCAGTGTGTCACACAACCTGACTCCGGAACGAGGCATGAGATGTAGTTGAAAGATGCAGTTGTCATTGGCAAGAGGCCCCGAGCAGAGAAAGTCAAAGGAAATTGGATGAGAAGGAGGGGAGGCTGCGCGATAAGATAAGATAGAGCTTCAGGTGTAGGTAGTTACCTCAGTTTACATAAGGTAGTGAGGTGAGGTGTGCTGAGCGAAAGAGGTTCAGCCTTGGAGCAGGGCGATAAGACACTGAGGTGTGACACTGCGCTGAGAGCTGACCGTGCATTGAAAGGCATCCAGTACTCCCTCCCATTGGCCAATGGCGGCCCGGAGGGACACCCCGCACTTGGAGGGGACGTACCTCTGTGTACACTGTAGGGCTTCACCCCACCAGGAAGCAGCGCCGGGCCGCTGAGACGCTCCGGTCATCGGGCGACGTCCAATTTTTTTGAGTCACGAACGACGCCAATTCAAGCAGCACTGAGCCAGACTCACTCTCATTTTCACTTTTCTGCGTGAGAACTCATCTCATCTCACGTAAAAGCCACCAGAAGGTATCACAGATCCCCTTGAACAACCTCCACTGGGACGACCGACGATCACTGTGAAGCTTCTCACCCCGCCTCGCTGAATCGATCTGAACCCCTCACCTCATCTCAAATCCTCAGCCCACACACACACACCCTTCCCTCATCCAACCAACTTACACCGCCCGCCAGCCTCGCCCACCATGACCAAAGAAACATTCGTGATCAAGACGCCCTCGTCCTCGGCCAACATCGGACCTGGCTTCGACGTCATCGGCCTCGCCCTCTCCGTCTACCTCGAGCTGCACGTCACCGTCGACCGCTCAAAGACCTCCTCCTCGGAACCCCTCAACTGCCGCCTCACCTACGAGGGCCAGGGCGAGGGCTCCTCCGACATTAGCCTCGACCCGTCCGTCAACCTCATCACCCGCGTCGCCTTGTACGTCCTGCGGTGCCACGGCCAGCGCATGTTCCCCGTCGAGACCCATGTCCACATCAAGAACCCCATCCCGCTCGGCCGCGGCCTCGGTAGCTCCGGCTCCGCTGTCGTTGCCGGCGTCATGCTCGGAAAGGAGGTCGGACACCTGGACCACCTCAGCTTGGACAGACTATTCGATTTCTGTTTGATGATTGGTGAGCAACCCCCTTGCTAGTCTTGATACCCTCAACATCCCAGTGCAGTGTAACTCACAAACAAACCAGAGAGACATCCCGACAACGTCGGCGCCTCGCTGTACGGCGGCTTCGTCGGCACCTACCTCCGCCCCCTGAAGCCCGAAGACGTCCAGCGCATCGAGATCCCCCTCAGCGAAGTCCTGCCCGCCCCGGCAGGCGGCGTCGACACGGGCGAGACCCCGCCGGAGCCGCCCCACGGAATCGGCCACCACATCAAGTTCCCCTGGGCCAAGGAGATCAAGGCCATCGCCATCATCCCAGACTTCCAGGTCCCCACTCACCTCGCCCGTGAAGTGCTGCCGCCTCACTACACCCGTCCCGATGTTGTGAGTCCCTTCTAACCCCCCCCCCCCCTAAGCCCTTTATCTTGTTTCTTTCAAAAGGGGGATATCATCGCGTTCTCTAACTCTCGACTAACCCAAATCACAGACCTTCAACATGCAGAGAATAGCTCTCCTCCCCGTAGCCCTGGGCACTTCCCCCCCAGACCCGGAACTCATCCACCTGGCAATGCAAGACAAGATCCACCAGCCCTACCGCCAGACCCTCATCCCGGGCCTCAGCCAGATCGTCGAGGGCATGTCTCCCAGCACGCAGCCGGGCTTCCTCGGCGTCTGCCTCTCCGGCGCGGGTCCCACCATCCTCGCGCTCGCCACCAGCAACTTTGAGGAGATTGCCAACAAGATTATCAAGATCCTCAGGGAGAACAACGCCGATAAGAATGTCGGCTGCGAGTGGAAGATCCTGGAGCCTGCGGAGGGAACACAGGTTATCCGGTGAGAGGCAAAGTATGAGCTGGCGAAAGAAAAAAGGGTTGAAAATTTAGAACACGGATTTGGGACGAGTGGCAAAGTTGTTATCAAGCATTTAGAGGTCGGGAAATTTAGAATCTCGTTATGATACCCAGATGACCACCGGGAGCTCTCGACCCGTTCTATGCCCATACTGTGGCTTCCATGTCTACTTGCTTTGCAGTACTTCATCAGTCGGCCACGCTGCGATCTTATGCTGATATTGCCTTAGCCTATCCTCGAACGCCTCCCCATTCCAGCACTCTCTGCCGTCGATGACTTCCCTCTGAGGCGGGCCAATCTGCTCGATGACAAAGCTAGCTGCCACAGACCCATACGCGGACGCAAGCACCGCGTCATCAGTCCTTGCGAAAGCAACTGCAAAAGCTCCGAGGAAAGCATTACCGGCGCCCGTCGGATCGACGACCTTCAGAGAGCCGTGGTCGTGGAAAGGGGGAAGCCATATCGGGTTGCCGCCCCGGGGAATTGTAAGGCAGCCTTGATCGCTGCACCTGATGACCGTAACCCGCGGTCTGTTCCGCGCCTCCTCCGCAGGTACCTCAGGACGTCCCGGTGCCATGTTGCCACTGCAGAGGCTAATGGCGTGGTATTTGATTAATGCTTTATTGTATGGAATTTCAGGACCCCCGTCTATGCCTTTCATGCGAAGAAGTTCGTGGTCATTCGGGGAACAGATATCTGAGAGGTGGAGGGCTCTTAAGTGCTCGACTTCGCGGTTGTCAATATTGATAGGCGAGGGTTCCCATGCGATTTGGGAAGTTGAGTTCTCAGTCTCTCGGCGGAAGGTCATAAGGGCTCCCATATGGCGCTCGAGATCTTCCGGCGTCGCCAGGGTATGAATCACCGAGGATCGAAGAAGGGGTTCAGGAAGCCGGGCTAGATCAGGCTGTAATGGTGGCACGGTATATCGAAACGTCTTTTCTGCGAGTCGATGTCAGTCCGGGTGCGCAGTTCAAACAGGGAAGATATCGACAACTCACTTCCAAAAGCATCATTCTCGTATTCCAAAAGACCTCTCGTTGACAGCCTATCCGGCTTCTCATCATAGTGAACGGTGACACCCCATCCCTCAATCTGCTGCCTCACGGCCGTGGGGAAGTCAGATCCAGCGGTAACGACACAACACACAGTCGCAGCTTCATTCTCCGGGACGGCAAGGCGTGCACCAAGAGTCCCTGTCAAGTATTAGAGTCCAAACTTCACTCTTTTGAAATCCTTTCCAAGAAAACAGCACCAAAAAAAGACAACAGCAGGTGAAGCTCAACGTTCGGCTGCCACAGCTTTCACTCACCATAAAACCCAGAACCACCGGGAACGTCACGCAGAACCCTCCCGTCCGGAAAGCGGAGTTCATCAATCACAACCATACCAAGCGAAATAAAAGCCGGAGCCGGCGACCCCATCCCCGGCTCCGGACCGCCCGGCGTTTCGGACATTATGATTGGCTGTTCGCGTTTGACATGTCCCGGGGCACTTAGACTTATCACGCCCCCGGGTTGAGATGGCAGATGTTTGAGGTCTTGTTGAGAGAGACACACACACCACCGCCCCCCGTTTGAGACCTTTTCGCCCGCCCGTCCGCAAAGCGGCCAAACACGTGGGCGGGGTGAGGCGAAATGATTGGATCCTCGTAATTCCGAGCTGCGCTCCCTGGGAAGAGCTGGAGAATAGGGATGGGGGAGGCCCATGCCAAAAGGTTGTTACGACGATGGCCATCCATCCATCCCCCGGGGCCGGCCCGTCTTCTTCCCATCCCGCAGATCTCGAATAAATTGCGTCTGCTTCATCAGCCTGCTACGTCCATGTTTCAAACGCCATTCTCACAGCTCGTAGACAAATAACGCCACAGCGGCTTTAACGCCGTATCGTTGGTCGCCTCCAAGTGCCAGGACAAATCTCTAATCTTAGACAAGACCTCCTGCGACCGGCATCCTCGCCGCGACCACCCCGAAACGTAGAGCTCTCCCTGACAATCGCGTGTCTGAGATCATGAAATGTGACTGGGTACTGGGTGAGGACGGCACCTGAAGATTCGCGTATTGGGGGCAGAATGGAATGAGCGGTGAGTGTGAAATCGCCCGCACCCCATTCGCCTCACTCAATGTTCCAATGTGAGAGGCTCAGAGAGGTTGCTGGTAGGGTAGGTACTCCCGAGTGCCTGGATGCCAATCACGCGTTCCTGATCACCAATCTCGACTAGGCCAGGCCTGACGGCATGTTTTCTTTTTGAATGATCCTTATCTGTGCGTGTTGGTATCTAAGTCGTCGGCGCGCATACATACCTACCTTCTCAGACAGCATTGCATTTGCATTTGCATAGAGCATATGCGTACTTACACACAGAGTACTAAACTGTAAAAGTAGGCATTCGAGAAGGCAAAAATGGAGAGCGAGGCCATCGATATCGCGCCACATGTAGACGCCAATCGCAGTTACTGCATGAGAGATTCGAGGCGTGTATCAGTCAAGCCTCCCGTCTCGAGCTCATTCTTGCGAAAGAGCTCCCGATAATGGATTTTCACAGTGCAGTTTTTCGTTCAAGGCACAATCGTGTCGAGGAAGCCTTCGAAGAAGCCGAGCCGAAGCATCCTGTCAGTCTTCCCAGCACAACTAACCCGGTCCAAGAATCAAACTTCATACACGGGAAGGGCAGACGTCGTCGCACGGCCGTGGCCTCGTCCGAGACGCCATGGGCTACTAAAAATACCGGCGCTGGGAATAACAAGAGTCGAACCAGAATTACCAGACACACGCCAAAAGAACAGACTCCAGGGCATTCCCTTGATCGAGGAACCGGGCCAGTGGTTCCTCTCAGAACTCTTCCCTCGCACAGACTCGGCCCTGATTCGCGTCTTTTTGGTGGTTCCAGCCATTAAAGAATTGTCCGAACGACCCCCACGGCGGCGGGTTGGTCTGATGTTCGGCGATAGATGCCTCGCTCTCCGACCTCTTCTCCTCGGTTTTATCCGTCCGCTTGCATGAGCGCGGGTATCAGAACGTTCGGGATTCTAGGCCTCCTTCTTCGGCGCTTCTCCTTGCCGTCGTCATCAAGGATCCATTTTCGAAGATCCTTCATGAATCAGGTTCTTGTCGTATCGATGGAGTCTTGTTCATGACTTCATGGCCCATGGGGGAGGGTGAATATCGCCGAGTTGTTCGGAGGTCTAGTTCGGACAGCGAACAACAGATTGAGACGCCGTCTGAAGTGTAGCTTGCCACTCCCTGCATAAGCTTCAAGGATTGGCAGTGAATTATACGCGGGCGACAGAGGAACGATGTTGAAGGTGCCGTTCGCACCGAGTAGGGGCGCACAAGACCAATCTGTCCCAAATGCGCCTTTTTGGTTACTCGTCGAACCTGGCAATTCGCACCGTCAAACATCCTCAAGTCGGAGAACGATTGCCGTACAACTGTTGTGCGTCGCCGTCTGTGACGGTAGACATTTCGAGAGGGACATGGGATTCTGGCAAGGTTTCCCAACGATCTGGCCATGCGCCGATCGTCCGTCTTCTGTGGCCAATCATGCTGACGCCAATTCAGTGAGTAATTCGACCTGCGGCGGCGGCACAAACACCCCCGGGACGGTGGGTCTGAACCCCAAGCGGTGAGTCCAGAAAGCTATGGAGCTCAGGGGAGCTCCCCAGCTTGTTAACCAACCACCAGCGTATCGTGGCAGTGTGTAACTTCGCCCTGTGTATTTGTCCATCATCTCGTTTATACCTTGATGCACTGTCCCAGGTGTAATTTCCACCATATTGGTAGGCAAATAGACTGGCCTTGGCTCAGTGCGATCTTCGGAGGGAAAATTCAAGAGCCCAGAGTCAAGACTCAACGTCTCGCCCTGTCCGCCATCTGGCCCTGGGCGGCTGGCCAGTGATGTCGAGCGAGAGAACCCCATCCAGGCAAGGCATGCCCAGCCGACAAGGGCGATCATGGGGTTACAGGTCCCCCGGCGGCAGGGGGAGTACGCTAACTAGCCCCAGCATGTCTTGGTTGGCAGGCGTGGCAGGGCAGGGCGGTACCTATGTTACGACGCTTCTTTGGGACAATCCCAGGGGCGACCACGGCGAAAGGAGAAGTTTGCGATTATCCAAAGAGTCCAGAATCCAGGACGAACGCTCGACGAGAGAAACCAAGAACGGACGAGAGAAACAGGAACGGGAAGCGCTACGATGGCTAAGCCAAACGTTGCTGAAGAGAGAATAATAGCGAGGATTGGAGACGACAAAAAAAGGACGCCAATGCGCGTCTCGGTCAACAAATCTTCAAGTGGCAGACCAGCCGTGCCTTAGCCCTGAGCGAGTCTGACGGTTCGTCCAGCGGGCCCTGACACGACACGCCAGAGCAAGGTGTAGCAACGGCGAGCGTCAGTGGTGCGTCTGTGGTTTCTGGTGCGCGGGTGTAAGAGCGAAGTGTGAGTTGGCTGACGGACTGCCATGGTGCCATATTGGAGGCTTCCTTCATTACTTGGGCTGTTGACCGAGAGGATTGTCGGAGAGAGAAGTGCCCTCGTACCTTACTAAGGCACCTTAAGTAAGCACTGGTACGTAGTTGTGGTGTGAGTGGGGGCAAAGGGACGGGAAGCCGGCGTGCATGTACCGGGGACCCGCAGCTGGCCCAAGCTCCTCAACGTCTCGAAGCTTTTGGTTTCCCTTCCAAGTTCCCTGTCCTCTTTTTTTTTGGCCTGTCCCCCGTTTCTGTCTTCTATCTTCCTGCTCGCCTCGACTTCTCTCCCCCAAAGCACCAAGCAGGGACCTGAAAACCTGTCAAGGCGAAAGGCAACCCGCGCTGTCAGTGCCAGTCAACAGTGTCGTAGCCAAGCTTCTTTTGACTTATGAGTGGAAATTGTAGTCGACACTCGACAAGGAGCCAAGGACGCTTCCCCAGTGCACAGCCTGGGAGCCAGCCATGCTATGCCATGCCAACTCAGCTCAACAAGCATTTTAATGGATACCTGACTTTTCGATGGATACGGAGGGCGCTGCGCGATCTGCAATTCTGCATAGCCATATTCTCTCAAGTTAATGCCGTCCCTGAAAATCATCACAAACATCGACACCGAGTCGTGGACCCCGACACGTAACAGCGCCTAAACTCCGGTGACATTGGTCAGCGATATTTACTGCCTATTCACTGGCGCGTCCAGAAGACTCCATCATGCGACGGGTCCTTGAGATCCCAGCTTGGGATCTGGGTTTCTCTGTTTACTCCTACTCTGCCACTGTGACAATCTGTCCAGGGACTAGCCAGGCTTGAAAGGGTTATGGATGTCTCTATTTCTGTTGAGGAGGGCGTGTCTAACAACACCCAGCCCGTTCCTTATCGGCATCACCGGGAACCCCCATGAGCCACGGAACGTTGGAACGTGTCTGTCTGACATCAAGCTATCGCCGTTGCCTCTGAGTTTGCTTCGTCTGCTCGACCGAACACAGTTCCCTCCATCTTCAGTGTCAATCTCTTGGAGGGAACCGCTCGTCATGCCCCCCTCCATCACCCTCCTCGCCTTCACACCACCACAACTCACTCGTCTCTTCGATCATCGAACTTGGCATCACGATTGAAACTATGACAATCTGACACCCGAAAGCCAGTTCGCAGTTGGCACTAGTTTAGACTCGAACAACCAAGCAAACCACTGCACAGTGACACCAACCATCAATTTGATAGGTTTCTGGGTTGGGGTTGGCGGAACAGGCTCGGTCGTTCTCGCTCAATCTTCCACCCTCCCCCCCCCCCCCCACCATCGTAGAAACGCTATGGCAAACCCGTTACCCAAGCCTCCCAAAGCACCACCCTCGCTCGCCTACTCCTACCTTACTGCTTACCTCCCGTCCGGTGCCCGCCTTGGCAGGGTCACGAAGCTGCTTCATCGCAGTACCCGACCACCTCGAGAAACCAAGTGAACCACCGAACCCAGTCCAGGCTCCACGGATAGAGTCTTCTTTGCTTGAACGTGCTCATCGCATACACGTGCCCCATCCTTGCTCTCTTTCTCTCTTCCTCTGCGCATCAATGGATACGGAATATGTCTCTCTTGTCTCCAGCGCCTCGTTTCCTGCCAAGTTTAGATAGAGTGCTGGGCCCACTGTCACAGTGAATCTGCAAACAGCAGCCGTTCCCTTCTCCACAGAACGGAACTAGATTGGCACGATTGGCACGGTTAGAATCTGTGTCCGACTCCGCGGGAGGTCACTGTAAGGTAAGTATCAGTCCACACACCACCACCACAATGCAGAACCCGAGTTCAGCGCCAGTAGATCCCAGATCCAGGAGCGGTGACGGTAACAGCAACAGCAGTTTACAAAATCCCTGAGGGGAGTTGGGGTAGGTAACTACTGTGGTAAGGTAAGTTGGCAGGAAATACATGCCACACCCGCGCCATTCCCCTCCCGTCGTCAGCTCACGCGGCGCCCCGCGCAGATCGGGGCGGTCTGGT